AGTAGTTGTTGTTGTTGTTGTTGTCCCAAAGGCAACTCTAGTTGTGGTTGTAGTCCCCGTTGTCGTCGTCTCTGTCGTCGCATCACGATGGCCGCTGTTGTACTCGTCGCGATGCACGCATTAATCGCAATGCTTAGCTTCTACTTTTGCATATGCGGCGGTGTAATAGCCCGGTAAGCCATTAGCATCGATGCTTGTAGCGAGACAACAGCAGTAGATGCAGCGGACATTCAAAACTGTGCAAAACGAAGTAGTCGTCGCAGCCACATGATGCATACTTCGTCATCGTCCATCAACAGCAGCAACCTTGCATGCTCAGAGATTATTTCACGGTCTCACCCAGCAGTGGAGGTCTGCATCTCCGAATAGAAGAATAACAAGCGAGAGCAGGGGATGCATTTGGATTCCAGGTTCCAGGGGTTGGTTTCAGGCTGTCAAGACTTTGAAACACACGCACACACTCACTCAGTCACACCTCAAGCAAAAACCTCCCGATCTTTGAGGTCCAGTATCAGTATCAATTATGATAGTGACCGTTGAATGCTTCGCTCCTCAATTCGCCTGAACCGCCTGCAGACTGTTTGATGAACAGGGTGATGTTGACATTGAGTTGGCGCCACAGGTGTGCCCCGTCAACAGAGCGAAATAAGGATCATCTACAACAAAACGATGTGGTGCCCTTTGGACGTCGTGCGATCTTGCGGTAGGTCTGGATTGCCCGGCTCATGGTCTTGACACCTTTAATATTGCACGTGGGGTGGCTATACACTGGCACGAAACTGCATGTCTTCCTGGATGCTGGTGCTCTGTTGGCCTTGAACCCTTAGTCCACTCTGCATTAGAAGTGGTAGGGAACTTCGTGTGTGTGTGTGCATGACGCATCCACATTTGGAGTTCCTTTCTATACGTAGTCTCGGAGTTCGAAAGAGTTCGAGAACCTTTTTCAACTAATCTTGAACTCGAGAACATTTCACTCTGTACCGCCATAAACGGAAGTCTAGAAGTATTGGAGCTGAAGTCGTCGGAACTCCCTACACCCTGAACCCTAAACCCTAAACCCTAAATCCCAAACCCTAAACCCTACACCCTAAACCCTACACCCTAAACCCTAAACCCAAAGCCCTAAGCCCTAAACTCCCTAAACCCTAAGCCCTAAACCGTGGGGGGGACCTCAGGATCCGATGCGCATCGTTCGCTTTGGCATCGAGCATCCCGAGGTTGGGGGACGTGTGGGGCTTCTTGTTGAGGGTTTTGGGAGTTTACGGTTTAGGGAGTGTGGGGTTTAGGGTTTAGGGTTTAGCTTCATATGGGGGCCTAAACAATTGCCAAGACTATTATTTAGTGCTTCCGTACTATAATTGCGTTATAATGGGTTTTTCTGTGGCTGCAAAGTCTCAGCCAGAGATATTGCTCAGCCATGCCAATGAGCTCACGCGCACCGGCCCCAAAACCCTATTCTACTTGTTAAGGCCCCTACATTGGGGTCTGGGGCTTAAGGTTTAAGATTTCTGTTTAGGGCTTTTGGGGCTCAGGGTTGAGTTTTTCGGCTTAGGTTTCAGTTAGACTGGAGTTTTTTCCATGGGTGCGCAAAGCCCTCCATAGCGGATTGAATACCCTAAACCGTAAACCGTTCTTCTTTTCATGCATGGACATGCCACCGGTGTCGAGGGCTGCCTGACCCTGGAAGAGGTCGGGTCATGCTGTGAACTTTTTATCTCTTTTTGTAGTCATAGGTTTTAAATTAATAGCTACATTATTATTATGGTATATTATTTATTTTATTTATAGTATATTCTAGTCAAGTACATGTGATGCAGTTAGGATGCGTGGGGCTCTGCGAAAGTTCTGACTCATGGCTCAACTGCCCAAACTATTGTTCAGTCTTCGGGCAGTGGGTTTCATGCAGGCCTTATAACTAGAATAGGGTTGGGGGCAGATTGTACGGTATTTACAATAAGGAACCCCCAAGCGCTATTCTAATTATTAAGGCCCCTATATTCGGGTTTAGGGTTTAACGTCTGAACCCTCAACCCCACCTCAAGCGCTGATAATGCTTACAGGCCCCTAGAACTACAAGACTCTGGACGAAATGAAAGGCAAGGTACAGCCTTGGCGGGTATTTTTTCGATCTACCCACAGGATTCCTACTTGAAGCCTAAAAAACCCCAAGCTCTAATCAACAGGAGTTTGCAGCTTCAACCTAGGAGTCTTGTGCCCTTCTTGAAGCGTTCAGTTGGAGCGCTTGAAGGCTTGGAATGGCAGAACCCGGAGCAACTGCCTCAAGCCCAATCTTTCGTCAAATCTGGACAGCCTTCTTGCATCGACTGGCACATGCATATCAGATCCTATTGCACCCTTCCCTGGCCCACAGCGAGTTCCTAGCCGCGAGTGAAAGAAACTATGTTTTCTAGAGCGCTTGGACAGTGTGGTGCTTTTGTTTTCGTTTGGGCCACAAACGACTTCAAGAAGTCAGAAATGTTTGCCGCCTTTAAGCACATGTGTCACACGGACGGCTAGCTTCAAAAATCCACCCGAGAGTAAAGCACAAACAGGGCGACGGTCGCGGTTGGGCTGCGGTAGCCCTGACGCGCCTGGATAAGACAGCTGAAGCCGCAAAGTCCCGGGCCCAGACTTTGGTGTGTAGGCTCAGATCTCCTTTTGGGCCATGTAGGGTCGGGGGTTTAGGGTTTAGGGTTTTTCGGCTTGGGGTTAAGGGTTTGAGCAGGATCGATAAGGTCTTGTTTGAGCTTGGGTCCATGAGAGAGTTTTTGCGCTTCGAGAAACGGCTTCAGCAATCAGCATAGAACGTCCGTCTATGAGCAGTGGGGTTGTTTAGGTGCTGCAGCTTGTTCGGGCCCGCCTACGACCCTGCACAGCTGTCAAGTTTCCTGCCGTGTATTCACAGTGTGCGAACCTTGACAAACATGAGTTTGTAATCTCAGAAGCTTAATGCCTCACAGCTGTCAAAAGTGCTTATCTGTACATGACCACGAGGTGCGCTTCGCTTGGGTTGGGATTGTTGAGAACTTGGTGCTTCCCATGGTCTCTCCTTGTAAATCACTGGCCGTTTCAACATTTGCCGATGCAGCACCTTCACTGCCTAAACGTCATAGACTTCGAAACCTCGTCAGGCGGAGTGAGTTCAGCCTTCCAAAGAAAAAGGGCCAAGCTCTAAGTCCTACCCCAATCAAAAACTGCAATAGAAACCTACTTTGTGCTCCAAGGCTAGCAGCGGGCCCCGACGGGCAGACGTCATGGCACCCGGTTGTGTTGAGTTAGTTTTAGGGCTCAGGGTTTCGGGTTTTGCGGTTTAGGTTTCGGAGCGTAGAGTCTAGCATGTCGGTTAGGCGGCAAGCTTTCTAGGACCAGGATCCTTTTGAGAGACTCACGTGCCCCGAGGCCTTGTGGCTATCAGACATTGAGATACGTGGCGCATGCCTGCGCCAAGGCTGGGAATCCGTTGCGTTCAATTCCTGTAAAGAGCTGCATGAATGATCGTCCAGCAGGCCACACAAATAGCCGCGGGCAACCTGCAAAACACGCTCCAGCTGAACTTGGCTGTAATGTTTCTAAACCCTGAACCCGAAACCCTGTATTCTGACGACATTCTTCAACTGGAGGCTTTCTTATTCGGCCCTTCGAAGGTCGGAGCTGTGGAAGCAGCCTACCACCTGTCCCGGCTGCAGATGAAGTGCGGGCGGCAGGGCACTTATTTTGCAGTCTAGACTTGCCCAAGCCGGGCCAATAAAGCAAAAGTGAGTCAGGTGTAGCTTTCAGGGCTTTGAGTTTAGGGTTCAGGGTTAAGGGTTTCGGTTATAAGGACGAGCTCAAAAAGGCTCCGGAAAGGATCTGATGCAGAACGAGCCCCAACTGACGACAGAATGACGGGCTGGGCGTTCCGAGAGACCCCTCGCAAATGCAAGCTCCACCCTTCGTCCATTTGCCTGCACTTCACTGCACCTCAAACATGAGCTGCACGTCTGCTCAAGCCGTATATGAACTACACGAAAGCAGGAGTCAGTGTACCCTTGAATCCTGAACCAGGACCAAGTACATCACTGCCGGCTCACGCGTCTTCCAGAGCACGCTGGAGGCATGTTGCGGAATGTCGTATTGTACCAGTTCAGGGCTGCTGGGTTTACGGTTTACTGCTTCAGGGGTTTTTGGTATCAGGGTAGCAGGCCTGGAAGTTGCTGTGCGAAGATCATCCCGTCCGTCCGACGGCTTAGGTTTTGGCGTGCTTTCGTGCATCTGTTTATCAGAATGCTGTCTCACCGTGCGTGGATGGCTGCGTCTTTGTGTTTTGAATCTTACAGGGCAGGTGGTTGCCCTGCCTTCTTGAGTTTGCTTCCACGTAAGGCCTTCCCACTGGACGTTATAGATTAAAGTTTCAAGTCAACCACCCCGAATGCTCACGTGTGGGAGGCATGAGCGAGAAGCTTGAACGGAACTAGACCGAGCCCCTGATGCCAATTGAGTTCGGCAGACTGTAGGCGTATTGATCGGTCTGGAGATGCTCACAGGTAGTTCTGACTTAATGCTATTTCGCATTTGCTGCTTCTGCCCACAGCCTGTCAACAAATTCCAGATCCTTCCCTGGCAGTCTTCGGCCCTTTATTTGCAATCCACCGCGGAGCAGATGCCCAAGCTGCTGGCAGGAGCCGTTAGTTCCGAGTTTCCAGGTTGAACGTAGGGTTGGAGCTAGCTTTCCAAGCGGATTCGTTTGCCCAGCCCGGATCAACTTGAAACTGTCTATGCTTTGAGAGCCAACAGACCACCGCAAATTTTCTGTCCAGGACATGGTGCACGAGTTTCACAAGAGATCGAGAGCTTGCTGGAGATCAAGGACACGCCTGTAACAACCGTTCAGGTGGCGGTTGATTCCCATTCAATCATTCAGGTTTGCACAAAGACAACCCAAATGATGAATTTCAAGTTCAGCCTCAGGCACCGAATCTTCGTCCGCACAAAAAAAGTCCATCGAAGCCCCTGAACCTGAAGCCCAACACAACGACTAAAAAGCCTGAACAGCTTTGGAAGTCACAGCAACCAGGCTTGCAGAACGATCAGAAGTTGCACCAGAAGTCGTACCCTTCAAGGGATCCTTGAGGGGTTCCTTTAAGGGTTCCTTTTGGGGGTTTAGGGTTTAGGGTCTACTTGGAGGTTCATGGTTCCTTTATGGGCCTTCTTTAGCTCCGTGTTAAGACTGAGCAACAGGATACAGAGTATCCTTATCATCAGTGGGGATGCAACCCAAAAATCGAACCGAAGCCCTGTCCAGAAAGCGTAAACCCCTGAACCCTAAGCCCTAAACCCTAAACCCTAAACCCTATATCCCAATCCTTTGGGAACTCCCACCTCCGCTTGATCGCCAAAAGTTCGGCTCAGCTCTTGGAGTCTAAACCCAACCTGTAGCCGAGAATACCTACCTTTTTAAACAACTAGATATGGGTAGTTGTCAAAATTATGGTCCCTTTTGGGGTACCCTAAATAATAGGTGCCGTATTATAATAAGGACCCAAAAGGGACCAAAATTCACCCACAAATATAGAAACCATCAGAAGGAACCCGAAACCGGTAGGTCTTTCCGGCTACAGGAAGGCATAAGCCCCAGATCCTGAATCTACTTTTGCAGAAGCAGTTGAAGCCTTTGCAACGCCAGAAAACCTGCCTCAACCATTAAACCCCGAAAGCTTCAATCCCAAAACCTTAAACTCGCCTTAGAAGCACACTGCGGAGAACTGAAAGGTGCTCTCAAACCCTAAACGCTTTCAGAACGACATTCTGGCCCTCACGCCGAACCGACGCTCTCGGATGCTGACCGAGGCGTTGGGCTTGTTTGGAAGGGTCTATGAGGTTTGCTTCAATTCTGTCACTGAGTTTTGGCGCTCAGGGTTTCAATACGTTTGCTAAAGCTCTGCAACGTTTAATCCCAGCGAAGGCAAATTAATGTGCCTGCACCCCAATCAGACCTTTAACCTTCAGGCAGGGCTTGGGGGTGATGAGAGCATTTTCGTTCGGAGCTTGTGGAGCCGTCTGTATTTCAGATTGAAAGTTTCAGCAGCTGACGGTGCAGGAGTTTTACCAGGCTTCGGGTCTGTTCTGTGGAGCGCAGATGTTGGTCGAACTGCAGGCGTTCAACCAGCTCATTCGCTGGTATGGGCGTGCGCGGCTGGTTCCGCAGGCAGGTCTTCACTTCTTTTTAATCCAGATGTTGGGTGCTTCGAGAGCAAGTTTTTGGGTTTGCGCGGACACTGTTTCTAGTGCGTGCTGGAGGGGTCTGAAGTTTCAAAAGTCACGGAGATTCGACACGACGGAATTCCACGCGGATGTCCGTCCCGCTCGCCAGCCATTTTCTTGTGGCTTTGCATGCATCATGTGCTCGATGTGTCATGTCGCCCACTCCGAAGTGAGTGGGGGCTTGGGCCTTCAGCTTAGAATGATTCAAAATAGGCTCCCACGGCATAGAAAGCGAAATGGGAAGTGACAACAGTGATAATTTATGCCGCCCTGATGTCTACGCCCTTACGGAGGCCATTCGTGCTTGCGAAATCATGAATGAGCTCGGAGTTCCGCGAGCCGGGCGCTCCAGTTTCCGTTGATGCGGCTTGCTGCATAATCATCATTGCAAGACAGCAGAAAACAATTTAAAGTACAAGTCTTACGTGTGATTTTCTTGCATGCTGCGGGTCACGGAGAGGTTCACTGGTCTAGCAACCATGCTTGCCAACCAGCTTTACGTGCCAGCTTGCACTTGGCTGGCCGGACCCTGCATGAATCATGATCGCATCTCCAGAACGACATGACCCTGCACTTCTTGAGCCGCGGCTGCGCGCAGCAGCTCCTTGACGGCAAGGGCGATTTGTCTGGTTCTTGGTCCATGTCAGAAGGATCCCTCAGCCTCTAGAGGCTGCATTAGATGTCCGGTTCATGGCACGTTGTGAGCTCTGAGAAGTCTACAACGGTCACTGCATGGGTGACAATAAGTACTTTAGGAACCCGAAGCCCGAAACCTAAGAGTTACCCTAAACCCTAAGCCCTAAATTATACTTTAAGAAGGGCGCAACTCTGAATCTGAATACACTCCCGTTCCCGGTCGTGCAGACTGCCAGGTACAGCTGTTTGAAGAAGGCTGGCAGGTGCGTGACTGAGAAGATGAGACGAGATTCGAAGAATTGTGTAATGTAGGGGCTTAAATTTTGGCCAATACTATCTTGGGAGGTCCTTACCAAAACCCTATTCTAATTGTTGAGGCCCCTATATTATTGTAGATGGAGGTAATGTGTCTCTCACTTTCTGCCAAAAGCGGGGTGCACCTTGCACCCGAGACTTTTCAGATATAACGGTAATTGGTGAATCACAGATACAATTTCACAGAAGCATTGAATGACACCAGCGAAAGCTTTGTTTGCAACATCGAACTCTGCCCACAAAGCCGAAGCAGACTGAAAGTGTGTTTTCTGAGATACTCCGGGTTCTCAAATGGTTTCACCTTCTGGAGCTCATCCTGTACGGCAAGTGCCAGGTACACGCAGGCGCCCCAGGACATGCCTGGACATCGGCCAGAGGTTCTCTTCATCGGGCGCACGAACTCGGCACCCTGCCTTGTTGGTACGCACTTCCTCTGCCCCTGCATGGTCAAAATAATTGTAGGTCATGCTTCTGTGGTGAGTGATGTATACTTGCCTCCATCCCGAGTTCATTGTGCAGCATACGGTCGAATGACCTGAAAAGTTGATGACTGTCAGATCTCTCCTACCATGCCAGGGCAAGTCGTCCATGATCAATGCACTTTTCAGTTCTCTGACGAAGGCGCATTTTGTGGTGTTTCGTGCCACACCTTCGCTTGTGCCTCGTACTTGCCCATTAAAAGGAATATACAATAACTCCCGTACTTTAGGGCACGATTTATATCATCAACAGTAGCGAGCGATGAGCCGGGAAGGAACCCCCAAAGCTTTCACGACCATGAGTTCCTGCAGTTCGCGCCCGCCTCCAAAACGCGGGCTTTCACCCGGAAGTTGCACTTCTACGAGGCCAGAGTGTGGGTTTAGGGGTTTCCGACTGCCGCCTGCCTTCCCAATTGTCTGAGCTGATCTTCTTCAGACCAGCCTAGGCGCGGACCAACAGGGGCCCAACTAAGGGCAAAGGTTTGGCAAGGAGGGGCATGAAACGGATAGGCACCTGCTCTGACCCGCCACCTACTTGGACTAAACCTAAGGTGGCGTAGGTTGGCAAGCGAACTCCACAGAGCAGGCCGACAGACCCAAAAGGGTCGGGGGTTAGATAAGTTGCCCAAGGGTATAGGGTTGGAGTTTCAATAAAAAGGACTTTCAATGTAAAAGTTCAATATCCAAGAAGAATGGGATTCTGCAATGCAGAAACACGAACTCTGGGACTTCGAGTTCAAACATTGAACTTGAAGGGATTGCTGAGGGTTCTGTCAGGCTCTGAGTAGAGGATTGTTCAAAAAAGCTCTGTGCGTGTACCACAAGCAAAGGGCTCGGGCTCGAAGGCGTCGGGTTTGGGATTTTTTTCTCCAGAATGCGGGTTGTGGGCTCGGGAAAGCAAGGTCGACTCAGATCTTAGAGCCCTCGACAGCACAAGATCTCCGCAAGTGTAAGCCAGGGTCCCCCCCTCCACTCTGCAGGTCAACCGAGAGAGAGCCGGGTTACCTCACTTCATGCTAGCCTGGAGCTTAATCCAAGCTGTCAAGAGCTTGGGTGCCAGAGCCAGAACACGTCAGTTCGCACTGCGAGCCCAAAGAAATGACCACCGTTCGTTCGAGAAATCTATCCAGGTCTTTCATGATTTCTCCTTACTCAGTCGAACAGCTGAGCTCATCCCACTGAAAAGCTGAACATGTGACTATCAAGAGGTATACGTTCGATGTTACACCAGGCTTTGTGCTTCCATTGAACATCTCTTGCTATGGTGATGATGTTGGTAATGACTTTCGTGTTTGTGCTGTGCTTCTTGTCACAGCTGCACTCCTTGCAGAAGATGTCAATACCTTCACTGCAACTGTGCTTGCGCCGAGCCTTCCTCCGATTGCCCCGTTGATGCCAATCCTGAGTCTTCTTGTTTGCTGACGATAAGGAAGGCACTCAGTTTCACCCTCTCGCACCGTTCACCCAACCATCTGATTTGCTTTCCGGACTTGAGACTGGGATCTTACAGTGACTAATCTTGAGGTGGATTCGCCTGGTCTGGGATGTGCTGACATCCCTAACGCGGCCAAGATCACCAGGCTCTACATGTTCTAGCTCTGGTTATTCACCGCATGTTCATTCCTGTGCTCAGGGAGTTTCCAAACATGATCTTCGAGTACCTCCGAAATCGCAATGCATTGAAGCCCTGCCCTTATCCGATATTTGTTTCCATGTTTTGTTGGTGCTCTGCCAACTCCCTTCCGAGACCCATCTAGTTTTAGCCCCCTGAGCGCCAAGGCATATCTTCCACCTCGTGGACGCCAGAAACCACAAGCTTCTTGACAGTTAGGCTTTGCAAGATTGTATGGTTCATGTTGGTCCGAAGTGGTGTCAACAGTTAGCTTGAAACCTAGAGAAAGGCTTCTGCCTGCTGACAAGCAGCTGCTCCACTTGGTCGCGAAAGCCCAGTGTGCGCCTCAGGGCCATCAATTACAGACACCTGCCTTTTGCTTGGGGTGTGGTAGTGTAGTCGTAGTCGCAGTCGGTCGACATGGCAGTTACTGGCAGTGACAGTTGCAGTGGCTAGCCCTGGTAGGCGTAATGGCTGTCATCTTCGTCGTTGTCGTCATCGTCTTGGTCGGCGTGGAAGAAGACAGCTCATGGCAATTACGGGTGACTTTTGCTTGGGTGTCCTTGCCAGGCGACGCAGCGTGAGGTACACCATTGCCCGGCCCTTAGACCAAAAAAACTTCCCTGCTTTGGTTTAGATTCTGGGGCATAGGGTGGCTTCCACATGTGAGAATTCGGTTCATGGAGTGAGAGAAGTGATCTGTGTGGTGTTATGGACTCCATGGTACACAACTTCGCCACCTACGGTTTCAGATATGGAGCTGTCCCAAGCAGTTTCCCGGAGATCTAATTGAAGTCAGCTGTCACTCAGCATAGCTGCCTGAGGTCATCACGAAAATTGACGTCTGCAAGCGCAAGGCGCGGATCGAGCGGGGTTGAATCTTCGGGTTTAGGGTTTGGGGTTTAGGTTTTAGGATTTAGGGTGGCTTCCCAGAGACTCCATTATTCCTTAATTAAGGAATATTCCTGAAACTATAGTAGTAGGATCCTTAATATGATTTAAGGAATATCCTTAATTAAGGAATATTGGAGTCTCTGGGTTGTCCAGCGACCTGCACTCATGTTTGCTGTTGTGCGAATAAGCGTTGCATCGAGTCCACTTGACACTACTCGCTGATAGAGAGCAAAAGCACCTGTGCAAGACCCTAACTCCAAACCCGAAACCCCGAACCCTCAACCCCAAACCCTATTCCCCAAACCTTAACCCTCAACCCCAACCCTAAACCCCAAACCCGAAACCCCAAACCCCAAACCCCAAACCCTAAACCCCAAACCCTAAACCCTAAACCCTAAACCCTACCAGAGCCTTCCTCAGTGAGCGCAGGTCGCGAACAGCACGGCTCAGCGCATCCGGGAGGAGCCTTCTAAGAGCCCATAGCTAGTATATGCTAGTATATTTTCTTATAGTATCTTATATTGTAGCATAGTATATTTTTTTGCAAGGCTTGCACTCGAAATTGAATGTCCCCTGCAGAAGGAGCTGGCCCCCTACTGCGACGTGGACATCATGTTTGCCAGCGCACGGGCTCTGCGAGGCTGCTTGATGCAGCTGTCCGAGAGATACGCAGGAGGTTCTTCACACCTTAAAGATTACAGAAAAAACTGTAAGACGCATGTGGGGCAAGGATTTGTCGAAAGCTTGTAGCAGGCGTGGATCACCTCTGGTCCAAGATCTGGCAGTCTGTGACGGAGACACCACGTGGCCGAAGACACAGGGTCCGCCCCACAAGTCTTAGGGTTCAGAGTGTTGCATTGTCTCCAGTGTGGTTTTTTGAAGAGTGACCGTTCCGTCAACAACAGATGCTTCTCGCCAGGACATTGGCAGGAAAGAATTGGAGCGACTGAACAAAGAAGGGCCGAACGCTCTGAAAGCCTGCTCCTTAGTGTTTGTGAAACCTTGGCACGAACTGACATCATGCAAGAGATTGGTGGCTGCAGGCTCCCAACTTGTCCGAACTGCTGGAGATCCCGGATTACCAGAGACCACAGGAAGTGCAAACAGAGAAAAGCGGCAGACAGAGGAAAGAGTGAGAGACATTGAGGGTATTCCATTTCTGCAGGATTTTGACGAAGAGGATTTCGAGGAGGCGTGGTGTGAATGATTCTTGAATGCAACCTTGCTGGCAGTTGGTTGGTGGCACACACTGCATATTTAAGATAAGTCCTGTCTTGCACCGTGTTTGGTGTACAACCAAAAGAAAGTATTGAACGGTGAGTTGCTATTCATATAATGCAGTCGTCGTGCTGCCAATAGTAGCAAAAGCTGTTGTGGGAGCAGCAGCAGCAGCAGCAGGAGCAGCAGCAGTAGTACTGTAGTAGCAGTAGTACTGTAGTAGCAGTAGTAGTGGCAGTAGCTTTAGCAGTAGCAGTAGCAGTAGCAGTAGCAGTAGCAGTAGCAGTAGCAGTAGTAGTAGTAGTAGCAGTAGTAGGAGTAATAGTAGTAGTAGTAGTAGTAGTAGTAGTAGTAGTAGTAGTAGCAGTAGCAGTA